GTGTTGCTCTGTCCGTCCAGGGTCGGGGCTGTTGAATACTGAAGGGTTCTGGGAACCCCCACCTGTCCTTTGGAAGAGGAGGAAGAAGTTCTCCCTGTCAGGAGCATGGACCCCCCCACCCCCAGGGCTTCTTAGGGCCACGGGCTCAGCCTTTCTATGTATTTGAAAGTTCTCTCTCTAGAGAGCTGGTATATAGTCTCACTTAACTAGCAGGTTATTTTTCGGTTTTCTCACAACTATAAATTCTACACAGACTTTTCCTTTTCCTTTGTTTAACATTTTCGAATTGGTTATTGCCGATGTAGAAAAGGACAGTTTGGTTTGGTTTAACTTTGCACTTTTTAAAAAATGGAAGTCAAGCTCACGCAACGTGAAATTAACTGTTGCTGAGTGTTTGGTTCAGTGGCCTTTAGGACGTGCACAATGGAGCACCGCTCGCGCGCAACCTTTCTCTGGCTCTCAATCCATTTCCAGGACTCCCAATGCAAACACCACACCCTTCCAGCAGCCCCGCCCCACACCCCACGCCCGCCTTCCCCACCCTCGACAGCCACCGATCTGCTTTTGGCCTTTGTGGGGTACCTGCCCTGGAGATTTCACAGACGTGGAAGCACACCACATATCATCTTTTGTGTCCTGGACTCTTTATTGCTATTGATTTTTGTGAGCGGAGCTTTGATTCAACAGCCTCGTTGAATGCTCCTTCATTCTAATGGCTTCCCTTTGACTCCATTGGCTTTTCTGGACACACCGTCATCTCCTCTGTAAATAACGTCACTGGTCTCCTCTCTTCTGATCCCTGTTGTCCTTGCCAGGGGCCATCAGGCTGGTTCCCACACAGAGAAACCCTTTGTACCCCAGAGCCAAACACAGCCTGGTCCTGAGCCGGTCTCACTCGCCCTGCTCTGTTCCAGCCCATTGATGCAGCCACCACCTTGTCACTCTGTCTTGTTGGAAGCCTTCCTCGGCAAAGACTATGCCCACCCCTCCCCCCCGCCCCCAGCGGGAGAGAGGATGTGGGGACAGGAAGGTAAGGAGGGTGGGAAATGAAAAGACAAACAAAAAAGAACCACATGTGGCCGGGGCGTGTGCATGGGATTCGATGAGACTGGGCTATGCAAATTCAAGCCAAACCAAGCTCACTGCCGCGGAGTCGGTGCTGACTCAGAGCGAACCCCTGTGGGCTTCTGGGACATCACTGCTTCCCGGAGTAGAAAGCCCAGCCTTCCTCCTGGGGAGCTGCTGGTGGTTCCAAACTGCTGACCATGCGATCGCAGCCCCACGCGTCACGGCTGCACCACCAGCGCTCCGTGCAGCTACATAGAATGTGTTTTCCTTTGTCGGGATTCCATTCCACCAACACAAGGGAAGAGATAAAGAAAATATATCCTGGTGGTACGGTGGCTGTGCACTGGGCTGCAATCAGCAAGGTCGGCGGTTCAAGCCACCGGCCAATCCGAGAGAGAGAGAGAGAGAGAGAGAGAGAGAGAGAGAGAGAGAGAGAAAGACAGGGCCTGCTACTCCTGCGCAGAGTCCGTCTCAGACACGCACAGGGCCTTTCTAGCCTGTCCTGTAGGGTCCTGTGAGTCTGCGTGGACTCAATGGCGGTGAGTTTGCCTTGTTGTTCGGGGCTGTCGAGTCGGCTCCGACCCAGAGCGACCCGTGCTCGGCAGCAAGAAACACCGCCTGGTCGTGCGGCACCTCACAGGGGTTCTGTGCCGAGCCCATCGTCCCAGTCACCGGCCCATCCATCTCGTCCACGGCCGCCTTCTTTCTTGCTGCCTGTCACATTTAAAAAATGTAACGAGAGAGAGCGCCGCGAGAGAAGGGTCACAGGCCTGGCCACCCCACCCCCAGACACCTTCCCTAAACCCTGGTCTGAGCGGTGTAAAAGAAGGAAAAGTTAAAATAAATAAATACATACATTTTTTAAAGAAGGAAAGTGAAACTGATTTAAATTCTGTTGTGACTCAAAAGTTAATTTCAAACCAAAAAAAAGAAAGATAAGGAGGGAGGGAGGAGAGAGAGAAAGTCCTCCTCTCTTATGCTGACCCTCTCCTGTACAAACACAGTGTCCTTCTGCAGAGACCCGTCCCTCCTTCATGGCCAAAGGACATGAGGTGGAGTCTGGCCACCATCATTTCTCAGGCCACTGTGGCTGGACTTCTTCCAAGCCCGACTTGTCCCTTCTGGCAGTCTGTGGAATCCTGATCTTCCTCGCCCACGCCCTGGTTCTTCTCGGGTCCGCCATGTGTGCCGTCTGGCGGTTGGCATCTTTGCTTTTTAACACTCTCCAGATAGCCCCTGAGCCCGTGACTGTGCCGTCCACCGGTATTGATGGTGCGTCCGAGTAAAAGTAAACCCTCGACAGCTTTGGCTCTTCCCATCTTCTCTCTGTGCTAGAAATCGCTGCGATAAACATGGGTGTGCATCTATCTGTTCGTATTTTGCTCGTTATTTCTTTGAGGTATATACCAAGTAGAGAGACCACAGAATCCCATGGCATATCTATTTGGTTTGTTGAAGGAAGCACTATAGTGTTTTCCACACCGTCTGTACAATTCTGCAATCCCACCAGCAACGCGGGAGCATCCCAGTCCGGGGCAGTTACATTAAAAACCTGTCAACTTGTGAAGGGGTGGAGTCTAGGCTGTCAATCAGATCACAGCCAATGAGACCTCTGTGTGGGCATGGCCTTCTCCTGAGGATTCTGGGCACTCCAGTCTTCCTCCCTGGAGGCCAGACAGACATAATCCCTGCGAGACAAACCACATTCCTGTTGACAAACCACATGGAGCTACACTGATG